CTGGACAGCCAGCTGCAGATCCTGCGGGTGGAGATGAGAGCGCAGTGGGCCATGCAGAAGACCTTTAGAGCGCGACTGAGCGAGAGCGTGAGGCTTCTGAGACTGTTGGCTGAGGGTCAGACCTCGCTCTGGGATAAACACATCAAGCAACAGTATGGAGAGGCAGATATGTATCGGTTTTATCTCTGCTTGCTTGTTCAAGTGTATGTGTGTGTTTGAAACTTGGTGACACACTTAAAGAAAAATTCTCAACAACAGAAAAGTGGTTCATAAATACATTAATGCTGTCAATATTATCAAATTAAACATTCAATCTTGAATAATTAATCAAATGATTAATTAATCACACTTAATCACATATATTATATATACAAAAGCCTCCATATGAAGACATTGCATTATTGTGCCAGAACAATTAATTGAATGGATATAACAAAAAAGTGAATGTAGAAGGCAATATACAATAAAGATATACACAAATTTTTTTTTTTTAAAGAAATTAACACTTCAGCAAGGAGACATTTAATTAATCAAAAGTGACAGTAAAGACATTTATAAGGTTCATATGTTAAATAAATGCTGTTCTTTTGAACTCTATTCATCAAAGAATTATGAACAAATGATCATAGTTCCATACAAATATTAAGCAGCAAAAACATTGTTTTCAGCATTGATAATAATAAGCCATGTTTACTGAGCATCAAATCAGCATATTAGAACGATTTCTAAAGGACTGTGACAAATTAAGCCTGGAGTAATGATGCTGAAAATTCAGCTTTGCCATCACTGAAAAGATTACATTTTAAAATAAATAAATTGTAATAGAAAGCAGGTATTTTACATTGCAAAAATACTTCACAGTATTGCTATTTTACTATACTTTTTAATCAAATAAATGCACATGCTGAGAGATTTCTAAGAGACCAACCCCAAGCATTTGAATGGTGGTGCTTTTTTATTATTATTTCATATCATTGAAGTCTTATCCCTGGCCTGCAGATCACTGTGATTTTTACAATTTACTGTTTTACAATTAAGTTGTCGATCTGTCCGAGGTTGGCTATTCACATAGGATGGATTCTTTTATTTCAGCTGTAATATTTTTAAAATGTACACATCCAGGCAGGACCCCTCAAAGGGGTCATTTATATCAGTGTTAACTAAAAGCAGTAGAATGTTATTGTGCGTCTTCATTTAGATGGCTAAGTGTGTGAATGTAACTGTGCACTCAAAATGGTTTCTGATTGTCAAAATTTTCAAGGTTCTCAATGACTGTAGTATTGTAATTATTGGTAGAAAAACAGTTTGTATAACCGAGAATCTCTTAGTATCATCTTCGTCCCAGCCCTCTTATCGCATTTCCAGATCCATAATCACAAAGGAAGTCAGTAGCTTAAAGCTTTGTTCAGAGTGCACTCAATAGTGATTTATTTTCACATCCGATCTTTAGGATTGACAGTCTAGTGGGTGCTGTGATGAAACTGAATCTGTTTGTTTAGGATGTGCTGTATATCCAATATATCTGCGCGGCTGCAGTAAAATTTATGCATTAGCATAATATGAAGAGAGTTAAAAGAATGGTTTCATTGTGGAAAAAGAGGAGGGGAAAACTAGACTAGACATGACTGTCTATGATGTCAGTGCTGAACTCATGAGGTACATCAGATAACATAAGCAGAGGCATCAGCAAGGTGTCCTTGATGCCCAGGAAGGGCACGACACAGCCAGGCCACAGTAAAACCAACGTCTGCCTAACTTCGTTTCTCAGGATCTACCCATTATAAATTATTTTTCCTTAAAAACAAACAAACTTTAAAGTGTATAAATTGTTTCGTTATCATTGTTATTTAAATGTTATGTTAATCTATGATTCATAAGATACTGTATATGTTGTGCACTGCAGTGTTCTGGAGTGAGTAGCTGTGCTAGATGACTGAAATGGTATCAGTGGAGAGCCAGAGGCCTGAGTGGGGGCCTGGGTTGTGCTTAAAGAGGGCACTGGAGCACAGCTATTATGCCCTGCTACTGGATCGGTCCTCAGTAGGGAAGACGTCATCGGTGAGACCTTTTAAATAGTATGTCTGAGTCGTTTACAGATATTAACCATGTAATTCAGACCTAATGCTATTTACAGTCAGTTACTGTGCAATCATGTCCCCTAGTGGAATATAATAGAAAATAGCCATAAGACTTGAAAAGTCTTGCTGCACCTCTAGGTGGAGGTATTTTACAACATTGCCCACGTTTTGCTGGTCAAATCCTGACAAATAGCCTCTGAGGCTCAACTTGGCATGTCTGTGGCATGACTGATTGATTAAAGTCTGCAGAAACACAGACAGATTTCACTCTTTTCCCCTCCGCAGCTCCTGATGGATCTGTTAGAGCTTGTGATGCCGTTCATGTAAACCCCCTCACAGGCCTCATTCAACCCAACTCTAATGCCCATATGTTACTGGCCAGTGGACACAGCATGCCAGTTCCCCCGGACTTCTTCCTGCACCCCCAGACTGGCAA